AATCAGTAGATTACTACGTACATTAAAAAGAAAAAACTCTCGAACACCTCATTTAACTGTAGCGATCCACCAAAATCGCACGTTAACAATAGTCAATAATATGATCACAAGACTTAATAATATCAAGACTTTTATTAAAGCTCTTTGAAACAAAATAATCTAATGTTATGCAATTTTCCAAAGACTTCAAGTCAAATTTGATCAGGCCAATCAATCCTAAACTTTATCTGGTTTATTCAATTCAGCTTTTAAAAAAATTTGGAATAATTTTAAGTAAGTTTTTGACTTGAATAAGAAAGTATAGGATATTATAAATTATACGTTTGAAATTGTGAGATGTAAAATTCATGAATTTACTAAAGAAAAGGTTAGGAAAGAAACTGTGAAAAACTTTTATTATAGTGTAGGGAATCCAAAATTTAGCATAGTGATGTCAATTATGAAATTGGTAGATAGTAAAGAAATTACTTGTAGTTTAGATGATAATGATAATAATAATAATAAGTATAATGCAAACGGCTTAGTTACATCAAATGGCTAAGCCATCGTTGAAAATCTTATCAATCATTACAATATTAAATCAAAATTTAATTGGTTGAAATTCTAGCACATGACTAATTTTAATCACGTGATACCAAATAAATCGCGACATTTTGTATCATTTACATCATTTGCGTTAACTATATTTCAATTTAATAAAATGCCAAAACAAAATAAACGTACTAGACAGTCCCGAGAAGCTATCAAAAAACGTTGGAAACAAGTAAAAAATTTTGAAGAAGTAATGCTTGAACCATCAGATGTTGAACTTGATGAATTTGATGAATCATGGTTTGGCACTTTTTGGACAGAAGGTGAGAAAGCATCTTTTGATAGTGATGAAATTACAGATGAAATGTAAGCATGGAAACCAGGTACACTACAACAACTAGTCAAAAATGCAAAGTCACATACATGGGCTGTAGATTCACATAAGCCAGTATACATTGGTGATGCAGAGTCAACATTACATAACAAAAGGGCATATTGGAGAAAAGCAGCTTTGGGTTCTAAGAAAATCACTGAAATGTTTCTAGCAAATGAAGCTACTAAGTCTAATACAAACAATACAAACAATGATGATCTCACATTTGATGTATGTGATAGTAGTAATGATGATAATGAATTTATGTTGGAATCACTAGATTTTTATTAAAAAAAAGAAAGATGATTTGCAGCTTTAGATGGTAAGTCAACTTCTCCATTTAGCCAGGACTAAGGATAAACAAAAATGGATGCAAGTAATATTCTTGCCCAGAGCTTGAATAAAGGTCCATGGCAAGTACAGCTTATCCGCTCTTGAATAAACCAATGGCTGAATAATGGTATAATTGTTTTGTCTAAACGTAGACGATATACAAAAATAAGGTCCCTCCTTTTGCATGAAGACGTTAAATTGCGAGTTACTGAATACTTATGTGCATATAAATTCGAACATTGCTGATTTCGTAAAATTTATTGAGGATGAGGTTATCCTTACCATTGAAATAGAAAAAAAGGCAAGTATCTCTCATTCAACTGCACATGAATGGCTGCATATGCTTGGTTGGGAATATAAGGATCACTCAAAGAATATTTACTTTAATGGTTATGAACGTGAGGATGTAGTGGCGGATAGATATCAATTTTTGCAATAATAGGCAGAATTACAGAAGCGAATAGTTACTTATGAAGGTGAGAATTTAGATCAGATCGTCTTACCCGTACTTCCACATGGTGTTCCCAAAATCATTCCTGTTACCCATGATGAGTCGGTCTTTTATGCAAATGATGATGTTGTTAAAGCTTGAAATCCAGCAGATAAGAGTCAACTTTGTCATAAGTTACAAAGCCTTAGCATTCATGTAAGCGACTTTTTTTGTGAATCTATTGGATGACTCTGGCTTTCAGAAAAGGATTGTTCTACTAACGATTTACTTTCTGATGACGAGCGGCTAGTGTACACTGAAGCTGCCATTACAATGTATCCTGATACGAATCGTGATAGCTGGTGAATAAACAAGAATGTTGTTAAACAAGTAAAAGAGCAGGCTATTCTGACATTTGAACGTACTCATTCAAGAAAAGTTGCATTTTTTATGTTTGATAACAGTTGCAACCACAATGCATTTGCTGATGATGCATTTTTAGTTTTAAGAATAAACATGAAAGACAGTGGAAATTGACCACTTCCTTCGAAATGGTAAAATACTTGATAGCTCACCTCATATCATGACATTTACGGATGTTAATGGTGTTGTAAAGCCCAAAGGTATTTAATGAGTTCTTGAAGAATGCGGTTTATGAATACCAGGTTTGAAAAGAAAGTGCAGTGTATGTATGCAACATAATCCTGATCTAAATAAAATAGACTATTATGTAACACACATCCTTTCTGCCACCCCGACTTTGCATCACAAAGGATGCACATACAGGAGGTAAGTTGCAATTAGTATGATATTCATTATTCAAATATAACAAATATAATTAACAATACTTATTTTTTTAGGTTATTGAGGCAGCAGGACATATATGTATATTTTACCTGAAGTTCTGCTGTGAACTTAATTACATCAAATCCTTTTGGGCTGAGGCGAAGCGGTACTCACGTTTTCATTATGATTATTCATTCAATTATCTTAAGAAGGTTGTACCACGTGCATTAGATTCTATTAGCCTAATAAAAATTTGCCATTTTTTATGTCATTTTGCACGTTATATGAGTGCTTATGAGCTTGGACTTTCAGGTAAGGTGGCTGTCTTTGCAGTTAAATGGTATCAGTCTCATCGTAGGGTTCCTGAAACTGTTTTAGAAGAATTTGGTAATATGTAAAATTTTTTTTGTTCTTCAATCAAATACAGTTATGTAAATAAAACACACCAATCATATTGTTTTCACATGATACCGGTCGTACTGAAAATCCTCCTATTGCTATTAAAATTAGCGTTAAAAAAATCCTAACTAAAAAAAATTTTTATAATAAAGTGAACAAAACAAATACATAGTTTTATAGATCATATCAAGGGTTATTAAATAACATATTTTGTTTAATGGTTATATGTTTAAATAAAATTCTTTTATATTTTGAAATTGATAAAAATCATTGGATGCGATTAAGCTGTTTGCATCATAGCAAGATAAACTTGCCATTATATGAGTTAGAACTTGGCAAATTTCCTTCCTTGAAACCCTGCTTCTCTATTATTTTATTATTTAGCTAGTTGAGCTCTTTCTTAATGTATTCATATTACATAATAAAGAATAGGGTTCCGCAATTCGATTTGATATTTGAATATTTGATTTGATCAAATTCAAATCAAAGAATGATTATTTGATCAAATCCAAATCAATGTTTGATTTGATTCGATCAA